CTTGGGGAACGAGAGGAACTGGGTTTAGGAAGACGATAAAGTCTTTAAGGCCTTGGCAGAGTGGAGGGGCTTGACAAACTATGTTTCTCGGATCCTCCAGAAATACCGTTGAGCTTGTACCATAACCTCCAAATATGAATAACTTTCGGCGGATTTGTCGGTCCCGGCGGCATTTTTAAGGATCTGAACAGCATTGCTGCTAGAAGGGTGGTTGGTTGGAGAAAATGGTTGTTACATGTCGTAGTTAATGCATGTTGAGGTTCTCCCCAAACCCCAATCACATGTTGTGGTTGGTTGGTTGGAGTTTTCCGTTTCCTTTTCTATTTATCGATCCTTGGTGGGGGTGGGGGTGGGATGGGGATCATGGCATATTTCATGAAATCATACTCCCTCCGTCCCATTTTATGTGGCATCATTTCCTTTTTGGTCGGTCTCAAAAAGAATGTCACATTTCCTTATATGGTAAGTATTTAAAGGTATAATTCCTCTTTTACCCTTGTTAGTCCCACTTAATCATACATTTATGAGGAGAGAGAAAAGTGAGTCTACTTTTTAATATGACTATTTTTTGAAGGGGCAATTTGGTAAACATTTCAAAGTCTTCCTTTATTTCTTAAACTCCGTGCCTGATCAAATGTTGCCACATAAAATGGGACGGAGGGAGTATTAGTTTAAAGTGAGTTGTTTATGTTGTTTTGGTACTCCAATCTTTTTTATTCCAATCTATGTATATTGTTGCAGGACACCAACTGAAGTGACTGAGAGGATCTTGAAGGGAAGGATGGACTAAACACTTGTGGGGTGCTATACTAGTTCACTATTGCATTTCACTGGGATGACATTTCACTTGTTTTGATGAATACTCAACATTTCATATTTGATGTTATCGTAGCAACTTCTCTCCAAGATTGTTATTTAATGGATTCAGTTGTCTGTCAGTAATGAATGTTAACGTTCTAGTTAGTTTACAATCCTCTATTTGAGCATCCCAACAAATTTCTGCCACAACTTATCTGTCACACACTAGACAATCTTGTCATTAGGCTATACAACGTAATGCCAAGATTTTCCAGAATGCGCCTTTGTATGGTTACAGTGTATTGCGGTGACACTGTAGCCAACTTGATTGAGGAAGAGATGATTAACTTTGACATTGTTATATGGGTATGGATTGGCTATTGTCTTCGTGTCTTGCTATGCTATGCTCGATTGTCGTGCCAAGATCGTGAGATTTCATTTTTTACCATATAGTTTTTGCCTATGTAGTGTTTTGGTTATCTTCTCCGTTGGAACTAAGTCATGCTTTGAGAAGATACTCAGAATCCTTGAATGTATCAAATGGTCTTAGTAAAAGGGAGACAAATTATATAGAAGATGAATCAATTTCTTTTGAGACTCCTTGTGGATTTGCAATATTGTAACCAAGGGAGACTTTGGAACAGATATTAATAGACAATCTTCAATTTCCTCTGCAGACCATAGAAATTTGGGTTGGTTCTTCCCAGGGCAGAAGAACGCCTAGAAATTTCCATCGTCCCCATAGGTCATGTAATCAGTTCTCAACCTCCATGAGGCGGGGGAAGGTCTATATACACTCTACTCTCACCAAACCCTGCTTATGGGACTACACTGGGTTTATTGTTTGTTGTCATTAATCAGTTTTTGGCAAAACCTGTGTCACGTTTAAATCAGCCAATATTGGTTGAGGCTTGACCAAAATGGTGTCAACATGATAATGTGATAGAGGTGTCTATTGCCAACTTGAGGGAAGAACAAAGTATCAGCGCGAGGTTCATGAGTCAGTGTGTATAGAGTTACTACCTTTATGCATGGGAAGTTCCTGTAAAACGGAACATAAGTAGCCAGTTGAGACTCTTTTGTCATACACACACAGCTACATGCTACACATCAAGACGAATGTGAGGCTCGTATTAAAGATAAACAGGTTAGTACTATTAAGTAGAAGAATTACAACACAGGACCCCCAAAGAAAAAAACCTGGGGCATACCTTCAGTTTTGATCCCAGGACGAAGCCCAATGAGGGAAAAAAATGAGCTCATGTTGATTTAAGTTGAAGGAGCAATATCAAAGGAATGAAGAATCTGTTCCAACGTATTTCTTTTATCCGGATCAATAGGACTTTCTAACCCATCAGAGTGAGCAATGTTTAACAGATAGAGCTTGCCAGACGCCACAAATGCAGCAGAAAGTATCCTCTTCAACCCTCCCCTTGTGCTATCAACCTTGTACTCAAACTCATATACTTGAAGACCTCCTTCACCCGTTCTCTCCGATACTGAAACCACTTCAGCCTCCTTTGTACTTTCCTAAAAGTAAAAAAGACAGTACTATTAGTTGACAATAATCCTTAGAAGCAAACAATTTCAGTGGGATCTACAGTCTTTCACATCCTTCTATAAAGTCCAAATATAAAAATCTCACTTGCTGATAGGATTGTAGGATAGGGTAGAAGGTTAGTAGGTAGTGGAGGGTTGTTATTGCCTTTTGAGGGTTTAGGCTTGTTGGTGTTTGTTGTTGTACTAGCTGTATTATTCTTGCTTATGATATCTATCATCGTTTGTTGTTTAATGTGTTTCAACTATCACACTATTTAGTTGTTCTTGTTCCTTTCTTGTAGGCTTTACACCGCTTCCTTTGTTAGTTGCTATGTTTTCTACATTGTTTTCTTCTTCATTGTACTTGGATTTGCTGCACTTGAGCCGAGGGTCTTTCGAAAACAATCTCTCTAGCTCCACAAGATAGTGGTAAGGTGTGCGTCCACTCTACCCTCCCCAGACCCCATATGTTGCTGTTGTTACTTTCGGATAGGATTCACCTCCTTTACCAACATAAAGCTATTACCAAGTAAATGGAGATTATGCAAAATATGCGAACAATAACCACTAGAATTTCAACCTCATCAATACTCTTCCTCTTGCTAGTATAGCAGTTCCTTATTAGTAAATGTAGTTTCGGAACAGCGAGAAAACAGAACAGCAAAAGTAAAAGGATTCTGACCTTGCGTTTTTCAGCCAGAATTAACTTATCTGCCACGAATTGTGGAGTTCCGAATTGACTAAGGGTTGTTATTTTTACAGGGATAACCACAACGCCCACATTGTTGGATCCCTTGTTTGCATCCTGAAACAGGGCAGTTGCCCCAGCTTTATCAACCTGAAGAACCCAATAATAGCATAATCAGTATCCAAAACCTCTTCATCTGGTACAACTCTGAGAGTGATTCTTTTCTCCTTCCAATTATGTGTGCGTGATAGAGTAAGGATTTGCCCAACATCAATCATGATAACAATTTTGGTCTAGGGTGGTAATCAACACTGAAAAGCTATGTTGTTCGGACTCTAAAAAATGTCAAAGAGTGCGTGTCAGATTCTCCAAAAGTAGTGTATTTTTGGAAAGTAGCTGAGTATGTTTGGCAAACCAATTTGAAAATCAACTTTTGTCAATATTAGAATCATCAATTTGTGCTTGATTGATGTCCCAAAAGTGCTTCGAAAACTCAACTTTTTCAGCCTAAAACACCTTTCCCCCTAAAATGGCCAAAAACCTAAACTTTTTTAAATATTACTCCCTTTGTCCCAATTTTTATCACTAGAATGCCACATTTCCATATTAATAACAATTTAACTTCAAAATGTTCATTTTAGCCTAAATGAAACGACTTTTAACCAAACTATGACTTACTTTGAAACCACAAGCCTCAAAAGACTTCCTTTCTTAAACTCCCTATAACTCAAACTATCTCACAAAAATTGATAGGTAAGGAGTAAATAAAAAGAACACTTTTGACTTCAGGGAAGCTTGGCCGAATAAGCCTAAATATAGTTTACATTTACAATTAATCTAAGCAAAAAAAAAAAAACAGTATGTTTTGGTAGCTGATTAATTAGTGAAAGCTGCAAATACAATAAACAATTCTCGATTAATTTAGGGGTAAAATAAGGGCAAATCGAACCTTACTCCAAGAAGAGGGTTTGAGGAGAGTGAAACCTTCAACTGAATCCGTATATCTTTCAAGCTCTAACACCTCACCAATGGCAATAGCGGAGCTTGAGAAAGGTATCGACAGTAACACCGTCAAAATTGATACATTCAGTGCTCGTCTCGTTGAATAAGTTGGAACCAATTCATTTGATGACAAAATTAAGGATCGGTTTCTCGTTTTCAACTGTAATGGGGTATTAATGGATATGCTCGGGAGACCTTGAAAGAAGCCATTTTGAAGGGGATTTGAGCAAGCTACTGAGCAAATGGCAGACATTGTGTGTTATAGTAATTGAGAGGAGATGAAAGGAAGGGTCATCTTATTTGTTCTGCCCTCTGCCTTACTTACATGAACTGAACTGAGGTCCATTTGTTTTTATCAACATTAACATGTCCCAATCTGAATAAAATATGAAAATATTTTTTTTTAATTTTTTGAAAAATAAATAAATTTCTTATTTATTGTCTTAATATTTTTTTATATATATATAATATAATCTAGCAAAATATTTTGAAGATGAGATAAAGACAGAACTAGGGATTCTAGAGGGCGGAGTGGTGGGATAGTAAAGAAGTGGATTTTGAGGGTGTTGGATGAATCGGAAAAGAGATAATAAGCTTGGAATATCATTTATGCCGTTTGGTTTTCTATATATTTACGAACTATATAAAAATACTATAATTCATATAAAATATTGAGAAAGTATTTAAATGATAAAACAAATAGAGTAAATATTTATTTATCGATTCTATATTAATTGATTATTATCTTAAAAATAGCATATCATATTAGTTATCTTCTATCATACTAAATGAAAAAAAACATTAATTCAATTTTTTATTTTTTTTTAAAAGCACTCACATTCAAATCTAAGGTTATAAGAATTGAGAAGTATAATTTGTGGGAGACCTGTAAAAAGCTTTAAATAAAAAACTATTACAACAAAAAAATAAAATTAAAAAATCAACGACATATATAAACTGAGAGGGAAAAAAAACCATTGCAAATTCCCCTTTTTCAGTTGTGAGCGGTGGAGAATTGTTCGAAGTGGAAGACGATACGTTCGATGGCGGAACAGCAGAGAACCTAAAAATTAGGAAATTGAGAGCAAAAATCTGAAATTATAGTCCATTTCTATGGCCATGTCAATGTCACTGCGACTTTGTTGCAGACCTTCAATTTCTGTAAGTTTATAATAATCTAACTGTGAATAACCGGCAGCTATTTTATCTAATTGTTGACTTTGTTGATGTTTTTATGCCGAATTGCTGTAAGTGTTAGATTTCTGAGATACATTTCTAGGCATATAGTGGGAAGTGTTCTCTCGATTTTCTTTCTTCTTCCTTTTTTTGTTTTGTTTTGTTTTGTTTTTGCTTTTGAAGAAGGATCTAATCATATGGCAGCCAAGGGTATGACTTAGTGGTCAATAACGTTGGTTGGTTGAGCACCATGACGTCTCAAGTTCAATTCCCAATAGAAACAAAAACATTACCTGATTTCTTTTAATCTAGAAGTCTTATTTCTAGCCTTGGTGGATAGAGGTGTGTGGTATTTGTTGTTGGTGGGAGGTGGGAGGTGGGAGGTGACAGGTGACAGGTATCCATGGAATTAGTCGAGTTGTGCAAATGTTGGTGGGAGGTGATAGGTATCCATGGAATTAGTCGAGTTGTGCAAATGTTGGTGGGAGGTGATAGGTATCCGTGGAATTAGTTGAGTTGTGCAGAAACTGGTCCGGACACTATGGTTATAAAAAAAAAAGGATCTAATCATATGCAATGACCAAATGAGCCGTGTATCTTTTAGTTTGATAACCATGGAGTTGGTGCCAGTTTGCTTGCACTTCGACTAATATCGAGTGTATTTGCTACCCCACACCAACAAATACTGAGTAACTCTGTCCGTCAAGCTGTCCTTACCTAGTATTTTTGCATTGGTTGGGGTTAAATCTGACATCTCGTGATTCTCAACCTACTTCATTGATCATACTAGACCAATATATTTATACAAGGGGATTCAAAAAAGTTCTAGAATATCACAATTGGAAAATGGAATTGTGACTTAAAGCAAATTTTTGGACCTTCTTTATTACTACACATGAATCTAATCATATGCTAGGACTAAATAATCTTTTGAAGTGGCAGAGCTTTAGTTTGATAACCACTAAGTTTGGGTTAGGGTCCGGTTATGCGCACCTTGTCTACTTTCAGTTATATTTGCTACCTCCCACCAACAAATATTGAGTAACTCTGTCCATCAAGGTTGTGCTTACCTAGTATTTTTGCATCAACTGGGGTTTAAATCTAACACCTCATGATTCTCAACCTACTTCATTGACCACTAGACTAATATATTTATTACAAGGGGATTCAAAAAAGTGCTAGAATATCTCAATTGCAAATTGGAACTGGGACTTAAAGCAAATTTTCGAACTTCTTTATTACTACACGGGAATCTTCGGTTGAGATTCAACAGTTAACGCAACAACTACACCTCATATATACAACAAAAAATAGTTCATTTTTGCCCTACTTGGACAGTATGATTTACGGTGAAGGGGATACAATTGAACCCCTTGCCTCTACTTACCTCCGCAACTGTTCTTTTGGATATTAGAGTTATGGTGCCTTTAACATATAGATTTTGGTGGTACTGATAAAATTATAGCGATAACGTGTAAATTGAATGGGCAGGGCATCAAGAATAAAAGAGATTTGTTGGGCTTAGAATTGGCAGGTGAGTCTTTGTTCAGGGATATCAAGTTCGTAATATATGTACTTATAAGTTCTCTGGCTCCTGAGCAGTTTATTTTCTTGTTTACAGCTTATCAATCAAGTAATCCAATGGGGAAATGGTTTAGTGGAGTGAAGAAGTTCATCCCCTTTGAGGGATATGCTAAGTCTGTGAAAACAGCAGCACGAATATCATTTCCAAAGATCTCATCAGACTGTACAGATAAAGAACCTTCAAATTTTTTGAGTCACAAGAGGATGGTTCCTTATTCCGACCCGCCTAGCATGGAAGATGTGGAAAGTTTGTATGAATTCTTTGATAGAAGGTAGGAATTGTGCTCCTTTTTTTGTTTTGGATTAGAAAAGTCCGGAAAATACAAAAGTGGATGTTTAGCTACTTCTATTGTGCTGGAGAATACTTGGTTGTCCTTGGAAAAATTTGCTCGATTAGTCGCTTACCCTTTTTCCTTTTGTGCTGCAATGGTCTAATTCTACAGTCTCATGTAAGGAAATGTGAATTGTTTCATGTATTTCTACATATTCATTCCGAGGACCCTTTACTCTTTCCCATTTTCTCGGTAAGGCATTTTTGTTGTTTCTTTCTAATCATTCTGGAAGAAGAAATTATGAACCAAGCCAACTATTTCATCTGTTTATGTCTTCTTAAATGGGTGCAACAATGTTCATTATACATAGATTATGTAGTACAGAGGGATTCACAATCACGTGGCAACTAAGTATAGGAAAGAAGGTCAAAATTACAGGGAAAAGCAGAACGAATGGAGGGAAAGAGGGGCTGAGGTTACGTGAATTGTGAAATGTATTTTACTACAAAAGAGAGTGCAACTGAAATAGCATTTCCTAAGCAGATTATCAAAGACATAGAATCCCTTGAAACTCACGGCATCATTTACATCAAATCCCTCTATTTATTTCTTGCATTTGGTAGATTTGTAACGATAACAAGGCCGTTGATTCTGACCACACTTCTTTTTACTGCTATTAAGTTCAATATTTTGAAGTCATAAAATTCAAAAAAAGGGAAGAAAGATATAATTTCAAAGTCATTTAGCTAAATAATATGTGGTTTAAGAGTCCAAGTAGCTAAAGTTTTTGTAATATAATGCACATAGTATAGATGTATTTTTATTTGTTATCTGAATTTACTACTATGTGATAAGCCTACATGCAATTTTATCAGGCATCGTGTGTTTCTACTTTCTGTATTACAAACTAGAACTTTAGTGGTGATTCATTTGCTGATTCTTTAATTGTAGGTCAAATTGGGTGTCCCTTTAGCCGCACTTGAGTTATAAAATACTACTTTCTTTTGTGTTTTCTTCTAATATCAACTACACTATGACATGAAATACTGACTAGTTCCTTTCCATTGTTTTTGTAGTACCAAGCTTGTTGTATTGACGGGAGCTGGCATGAGCACAGAGAGTGGAATTCCGGATTACAGAAGGTTGGTTTAAAACTAGATGAGCTTGCTCAACGTTCTCAACAGTCAACAGTTTAATCATTCTCTGAAGTTGATAATTTGAGTTACATTTCAAAAGGAAATACATTTTACTGCTAAGGGAAGAAGACGTTGTCAATATTTAATTTCTCATCCTAGCTGAGTTACATTTCTAAAAAGGAAGACACATTTCTTATTAAAATCAGAAGGCTGTCAACATTTAGTTTTCCTGCTATTTGGTGCAGTTATAAACAAATTAAAAAATCTGACTTTTTTGGTGTTGAGCATTTATATAAATTGTATCAAGTGAGGATTAAATCTGAAAGTGCAGCAAGATGTCCTGTTCGATTCAATGCAGGACGGTACTGTGAAACCAAAGTTTCTTTGTAATGACTCTATTTTGAGCATTCCCTGCAGTTTTCGCCTTTTTCTATAGGGTGGTACGTCTGTGTTGTGTTTAAGAGTGGAGTTGGGGATTCAGTATTACAGCTTTGTGCTGCTTCTAGATTTTATTTTGGGGCCTGATATTTTCTGTATAAAGAAGTTAAGTGATATTTTTGACAAATGGTAATGCTTTTCCCTCTTCTCTTGGCAGCCCAAACGGAGCTTATAGTACGGGTTTCAAACCAATTACCCATCAGGTGATTTGAAGGCATGTGCTATGATTCTTGGTTCCATTGAAGTGTCATTATTCACTTATAAATACCATTTCTCGCATATCTAACAGTGGAAAAAAAATCTATCAGTCTACTATGGATTTAGTTCTGTTCATCTCTAGACCTATATATTTCTTTTAGACAATAAATCCTACATGAATTTGGTTTTGGTCATCTCCAGAATATATACATGATACAACAACTGTCCCAAATAAGTTGGGATTGGCTTATGAATACTCATGTTTCTCCATTTAAGCTCAATTCATGTCATCATCATACCAAAAAAAGATTTAAAAAATAAGTTAGACCTATTCCCAACTAGTAGATCTCACCTATATGGATCTTTTCCTTCTACTATGTCCTATCGTTAGCTAAGTGTGCTTTGATTCCCAGAAATTGTAGGTCTTTCGAGACAACTTCCTTATTGTTATTTCTACCTCGTCCTCTTTAACACCTTCACTCACCATAGTTGCACTTTCACATCTATGCACCAGATGTACCGGTTGCAGCTGTAGGTCGATGCAGAGCATGACCAAACCATCTCAGGCGACCTTCTCCCGTTGTATCCTCAATGTGTACTACTTGGCACCTTCAGGCAAATTTGATCATTTTTTAATCTTATCTATCCTTCTGTCTGTCACATAATACCCTAGTAGCACTTCTCCATTTCAACATCGCTCTTCTCATGCTGACTAAACTTGCATGCGTGTCAATTATTCCACTATTTATTTGCTACCTCTTGCTAGCACAGGTACTGAAGCCCGTACCGTAACTCTGTCACTAATGCTTAGGCAGATAGGAAGTAATCACCTAGTGATTTTGCCTCTTTTGGGATTTGAATTGTCTCCCAAAGTTGCAATCCCACTTCATTTACTGCTAAACCACATTCTTAGGTGCTAGAAAAAGTTCTGCTTTCATTAAAATTTACAGAGTTAGCTTCTGTTTACTGCCTACATTCAAACTGTCTGATTTATATATCCAATTGTAGGAGTTTCTCCGATCAATCAAGGCTCGAAGGCGTTATTGGGCACGGAGCTATGCTGGATGGAGACGTTTCACTGCTGCTCAACCTAGTACAGGTCATATAGCTCTATCATCTCTTGAGAAAGCAGGCCATATAAGTTTTATGATCACACAGAATGTGGACAGGTAGTTGGCTCGTCTTTTCATTTTATCGTTGATTTTATGAGCCTTTTGACACTAATTTGTTACTCTTCCTCTCAGGCTGCATCACCGAGCTGGCAGCAATCCACTTGAATTGCATGGGACTGTCTACATTGTTGCCTGTACAAATTGTGGTTTTTCTCTACCTCGAGATCTATTTCAAGATCAAGTGAAGGCTCATAATCCCAAGGTTATCTTTATTCAATTATTGTATTAATCTAGTAATGTGCATATAAGTCCATTCATTGCATTTGAAATCACTGCCTGATTATCGATTTGAGTTATGTTGATTTGACTTCATGAAAGATGACAGAGAAATCTATTTCAGCACTGTTCCACAAGGCACTAGTCTATATGTATGTCCAAGTCCTGTAGAACTATAAACACCGACAATGCTTTTCCTATACTTGTCTGGCAAAAAGAGGAGGGGCGTTTTGGTGCATAGAATGTTATTGATTCCATTGTCACCTTTACTTACGACAAAAATAAGGATTTCATTGTCACACAACCATCTGCCTTACCCTCGGGCCTTGACGCATCAGTTCCTCCCCTATCCCAAACCTTCCCCCTTTGGCCTGCAATTCTGTACCTGTTGCAGCAATTGCTTTGCCTTTTCATCCATCATCATCTCATCTTAAAGAGTTCTGTATCTACATACAACTCTGTGTTACCTTGTTTATGCAGAAAACTGTCATTCATTGATATTGGACTGCAATAGGGTCTATTCAGTTTGTATGATAACACAGCATATGTTAATATTTGGATTAACAAATAATAAGTACTGGATTAGCTGCCTAACTACCATGTTCAGTTGTGACATTATATATGTCTTCTTGTGTATAGAAAGCATTGGTTTTCGATGGTTTATTTGCCAACATTATTAGAATTTAACAGCTGGCCCTTGATTATGGTGTATGAGACATCATCTAAGGGGTATTACAATAGCCAACCCAAAATTGGAAAACTTGAATAACAAGATCATGTTTTCTTCTTGATCAACCTAATGTATTCACTGTTTTGTTCCGTTGGCATAAACTGAACTGGAAATATTATAGTACTGCAGTGGGCAGAAGCTATTGAAAGTTTGGACTATGACAGTCGATCAGACAAGAGCTTTGGAATGAAACAAAGACCTGATGGGGATATTGAGATTGATGAGAAATTCTGGGAAGAGGATTTCTACATTCCTGAATGTCAGAGCTGCCAAGGAGTTCTGAAACCTGATGTAAGTGGTTTTCAATTTATCAGATGAACTAGTTTATATAAACTTAGAGCTCTTTATGTTTTTTCGTTTCCTAGAGGTTAAAATTGGCCTAGGAGGAATAAGATGATTCCTTTGTTATCACGAATATGTCAAAGAGTAATCTTGAATTGAAGATCGAGCCTTTCACCGGGGTGAATAAGAATAGCCAATAGGTACAGATGACTTTCAAATTTCTGCCTTGTGCCATAATTATACACATAATACCATGGGAAGAAAGAAGGTTGGATCTTGCAGTGCAAACCCATAGGGAACTGTATTTTCGATTTCGCTGTAGGATATCAAAACTTTATAAGTTCTATGTTGTTTTTAATAGTTAGTTCAAAGTTTATGCTACTTATTACAATACCTAGTCAATGGCATACTTAACTTCTAAAAGTTCATTAAAAAGGAAAAAGACAAATTCACCTTTGCCTAGTAATTTTATATAATGACTCCACGAGGTAGTGGTAAGGTCTGCGTACACTCTACCCTCCCCAAACCCCACTTAGTGGGGATTTCACTGGGCATGTTGTTGTTGTATTCGATTAATCATTGTTCCTTTGAATTTATGGTCATATCGACCGTAGTGTACTAGTATAAGTCATTAAAATATGGTACATTACAGGTTGTCTTCTTTGGGGATAATGTCCCCAAATCTAGGGCAGATGCTGCCATGGAAGCTGCAAAGGGATGTGATGCCTTCCTTGTACTTGGTTCATCTTTGATGACCATGTCCGCTTTCCGGCTTATCAAGTGAGAATTTGCTTCTCTCTTCCATTTTAATAAAAAGAAAATCTGGTCTACTTGGTTAGTTCTAACTTGTTTGATCATTCGGTTCTTGTCTAAGTGCATCATTGATGAATTAGTCTTATACCAAGCATAATTTTTTTTAACTAGGATTGCAATTGCATGACCTGAAATTTCAATTGGGAGAGTGGTCCCTTCTGATTCACTTCCTCTTTTCCGAAAATTGTTTCGGATGGTTCTGGAAACGTAACATTATTACTCTCTTTGCATATACCTGTATGATTATCACATCATAATTTCCTTCTTTGTGTTGGTTTTTATTTCCTTCTCTCCCTTTTGGATAACTTATATCAACACCATGAGGATAAACCTTTGCAACAGAGCTGCGCGTGAGGCAGGTGCTGCTACTGCAATTATAAATATTGGTGCTACACGAGCTGACGATATTGTACCTTTGAAAATTAGTGCTCGAGTTGGAGAGGTTAGTGCTTTGTATGGAATACCAGAAGTTATAGTTTCCGTTATAGTCATCCTCGCATCTGTTTTTACAGTTTTTCTTGCTGCAACGTTCCTGTAACCGTAGCTTATACAATTATATGATGCAGATACTTCCAAGATTGCTCAATGTTGGATCATTAAGTATCCCTGCTCCCTAGTTCCTGATTCAGGGAACTGTTAATTAATAGCATCCCAGATTCTATTTCATCAGTTGCTGCAAATGGATTGTACACTTGGCCGGAACGTGCTAGTTCGCTGCATCTCATGTGTGGTAAATTCACTAAATCCATCCCGATGTTGTTTGTAATTCTTTAAAGTGAACTTCTCAAGTACCACACTCACTATTTATGTGCGCGTCTGTATTGTCACACAACTCGACTACTTCGAATTTCTGATGAGTGAGTTGAAGCTGAAATGGCGCAAAAATACACAGAATATTGCTTGGAAATGATGAATTTTAGTATTGCCTTTTGCATCTTTAAAGATTCATATAAGATTATAGGGGGAAAAGGGTATTAAAAAAAAAAAAAAAAACCTCTGTGCTATACACATTGCTCAATTCTTTTACCTTTTTTTTTATACCGTCATTGGATGCATTGATATTTCTAATGTATCTCAACGATCGATGTATCGTCATTTTTTTGCTTTTGATCTTAGGTAGTGCTCTAACATGAAGGGGTCGTTAGGTTGGGAACAAGTTATCCTGTAAGTTATTCCATCACGTATATGAGGTTACTTACTTATCCCATCACCAAGGTATAAATGACGGGATAAATAATATCACGACCTCCTAATACCTTCAACCAAACACAGGGTAAAATAGTCTTGCATTTTATTCCTAGGATTGTTATACCTTATATATCACATCAAATGACTCCGAAGAGGTATAGGAGGGGTAATCTTGAACCATAGTCAAAAGTAGATAGGTATATTTGGACCTTATTCTTGAAATATTTTGACACATGTAGTGTAGCAATTTGGATATTAAAAATATGATATTTGAAGGGGGGGTAAAGTTGAAAAATTGCATTCGAAGACATTTAACTTGAAAAATCGTTAAAATCGCTTTTCCAATCTTGAAATTCACTTTCAACAGTTTTTCTTTAAAAAAATCAATGCATTGTATTATCAAATGTTACTTTAAAAGAAGTAAATCTTTTTGTATGGACAAAAGGGGGCATGGTTCATCCAGTCCAAAATAAATGCGAGATGATTTGCTAACGATAAATATCAAAAGTATAATCGAGGGTAAAATAAAATAATTTTTTATAATAGAGATAAAATTAAACTTTTTCAAGACTACGAAGAGAGCGAAACATCAATTTATTTTACTCCTTTTGTTCACTTCTACTTGTTCATAATGAATTGTTTCACACTTTTTTAGAAATAATAAATGAAATGTACATATTTTTATCAAGATATTCATACTAATTGATGTATAGTTTTTAATAAATTGGAGAATATGATTTGAAATGAGTAGTTAATATTATTGATAAAACATGAAGTAAAAACATTGTTTTTCTTTTGATATGTTATAAAAATTCATTTTTAATTATAATAAACAAGTAAAAATGAAAGGGAAAATAATTTTATAATTGGGTTGTTTGGAATTTTAGGAGTCAACTAAATTTGAATATAAAAATTACAAATTGTTTAGCAAATAGGTAATGAAGAAACTTCGAGGTTGGAGCCTTGGAGGTATCACAAATATATTCTCATGGAGCACGTCATAATCCAGTCAACACTTCACATCATCTCTGAGCTGTCCTATAAAAAAAGTTGAAAACTTCACCACTTTTTTCTGTTTTTTTTTTTTATAATGTTTTTTTTTCATTGTTTGATATCTGCATTAAAATTTGACAATTTCGAATTCACGCTACCTAGGGAGTAGGGACCCCATTAAGGAGGAAGCACTTTCTATCCAAAAAATTTAATACTAAGGTTCGAATTCAAAATCTCTGATTAAATGAGAAATAACTCATCCATTGCATCACGTTATTTGGAGTTTTTGGTGGTTCACCACTTTTTTATGTTTCTTTTTTCATAATAATAACTTTCTTGCTTTGGTGGCCTATTAAAGTGCTTAAATTTCTTAGTCAAAGGGCTGTGAACTCAATTATTTTTTATTTTTTGGTGAACTAAATCTGTTGTTAGTTTTTTTTTGAATTCATAGTATTTTGCCAGTTTTTTTAGCACTTTACTAGTCATTTTTTTAATAGATTTGACCAATCAACATCAAATTTTATTGGTTGTGGGCGTTTTTATTTTTTTGTGAGTTGGGCATATCTGGTGAGTGGCTACAATTTTATCTAGAGACGTCAAATCCTCCTTCTTAGGACTTTTGTTAAGGATTCACGGTTGGTAGGAGAATTTCAAGATTCGAGGTGAAATCGGAATTTAAATTTTAAATTTATCATTTTATTTATAATTTGTCTAAGTTATTGAGTTTGCAGTTAAATATTATTACATGTTTAATAGTTTCTGCAAAAATATAACATCTACCTATACAAGCTCAATTTGGAGATAGGGAGAATTCGATAGAAGTACGAAATTTCGATAGTTCAGAGAATAAAATCGGTGAGTTTAAGCAAAAGCTTCTAAATTTATCAAATTCGAATGAACTGTTTTAGCTTCACCCCTAATCACAAGTGGATTCAAGTTTTCTGCAATCGAGAGTCAAGACTTTGATGACACAAAATTTATATTGGCATGGATAATTGACCCTTTCATATGTGTATCACCCGAATTTTTAAATGCACGACTTCAAATACTTACATTTTAATTCTAATGATGAATAATCATATGTTTTGAATGTTTCGTAAATAGTCGATAATATTGAAGAATATTAAAAAATGTAAGGGAGTAAAAGCTTGAAGTAAAAAGAACTAACTAGTCATCTACTCCACTAGTTAAAATTTGGAGCTATGAACAAACTAGTTAAGTACTCCCTTGTCCTAATTTGTATAACATTTATTTTTTAATCGGTCTAAAATATAAAAACTTATTTTTTAGTTAGTTTAACTTCAAAATATTTATCGTACTTTAAATGATTTCTAACTATACAAATATTTATGACTTGTTGTTTTATCTCACAAATTTCAGAAATCTACCTTCTTTTTAAATTTTAGATCAAGTCAAACAATATCTAATAAATTCAGATGGAAGGAGTATTACTTCCTCCGTCCTAATTTATATAACTTGACTTTTTATTTAGTTACATATTTCTAAATGTAATAATTGAACTTTAAAATGTTCATTTTACTTTTAAAATATGTTTGTAATCACACAATATTTATGACTAATTTTAAATCACAAAATTTGAAGAAACAAATCTTTTTTAAATCTTGTATCAAATCAAATAACATCACGTAAATTGAAATGAAAAGTGTATTATTATTCTAAGAATATGCTTTTGACAATTGTGGGTTTGGTAGGCAGCACACGAGTGGTCTTCTTTGTCCTGACCTGACCGCTATTGAATCCCTTTTTCTTTTTCATTTGTTGGATAATTATTATTATTATATTACTTTAACAGCCGACTTCTTTAAAGTTTTTATGTATATATCTTAAAATTTGTATAACATTATTTATTGATATTCACGCTATAAATAATATTAAATAGTGTATTTGATTGGATATTAAATTATTTATTTAGAAGTTTGGTGATCAATTCTCACTACACTATATTAAAATAATTTTTAGCAACAAATTAATTAACGATAATAACTTAGTTGTCGCTGGATATACTTTTTTAGAGGCAATTTTACTAGTGACAATTACATTCTAGCACTTTTTGTAAATGTTACTAAAGTTTATAATAAAAAATATTTTTGTTATATTAATTAAAATATATCTTCTTTTTTTTTTTTTTCCAATCATATACTAAATATGATAGATTCGCCTCTGTTAAAACATATCATAATATTAATATGATTATAATAAATTATCATTAAAGAATAAATAATATGAGAAGTATAAAATAGTTATTTTTTTTAGTACCAATTAAAATAAGAAAATATTTAAAAAATTAATATTAATTGGGACGGAATTGGGACGGAGATATTATAAGTGGTCCCTAGCAAGTGACGAGAGCAGTGACAAAATCATAGGCACACGTGGGGGACATCTTTACACGTGTTTTCCTCTCATTGGATATTACTCTTCTATTGAGTCTATGGCTGCGGTCAATCTATAAACAAAGAGGGCCCCACACACCCACTTGCTTAGACTCTTCATCCCCAAGTAACATTTTTCTTAAAAGTACTCCCCCCCCCCCACCCCTCCACTTTAATGCTTATAAAATAAAATAAAATAAAAATCTTATTTTTTAAAAAAAAAATTATGTGATCTCATTTGACTAGATATAAATGATAATAATAATAATAATATATTATAATTTTCGTTAGATTCTTTAATTAAGTAAAAATATTATTAACTTTTTCTGTCTTAATTTTCAATTTCCTAATTTTTATCCTAACAAGGGTCATGTCTTCAACAAACAGAAACTATATCAGCTCTAACACGTTTTTCTATCTCTTTTTACATGTTCAAACTATTTCAATCTGTCTTTCCTCCTTTTTTTTGTTACAAAAGTTATTCCCAACTTGTAAAACTTCGTTACTAAGCATATCTCTCATAGTATATTCACACATCTATCAAAGCATACTCATCTCTACTATCTTCATCTTTTAAACGTGGATATTCTTGACTACACTACATGAACAAAGTTGGTCTAGATTTAATTTAATAGTCACTCTATTCAAAAAAGAATGATTTACTTTTCTTTTTAATCTGCTTTAAAAATGACCATTTCCCTTTTTTGACAATATTTTAATTTCAATTTTTCACGTGACAACTAACATGTTTAATGTCACAAGATTAACTATTATTTTGATGCATTTGATACAATTAATTTATTTTTTTTTTAACTCCATAACAAATCAAACTAGATCATTCTTGTGAAACCGATGGGGTACGTGATTATAAAAATAACACCCCAAAAAGTCTCAATACTTGAATTTTAATGAATTAGTATTATACTGTATACTACTCCCTCCGTCCCATTTTATGTGGCACTTTTCGAATTTCGAGATTCAAACAAGTCTATTTTTTATCGTAAATTTTTCATAGATCTTTTTAAACATTTTGAATCATCAATTATTGTGACTTATAGTAATCTTTACGTAGTTTACAAATATATAAATTTCATTTCAAAAAAAATTGAAGATTTCATGCGCAAATTTTCGATCAAACTTTACCTGTTTAACTCTCAAAAAATAAAAAGTGTCATATAAATTAGAACGGAGGAAGTAATATTTAATTGTCGACATAATAACGGTGGTCCTGTTATTGCCTGGTTTCTGCTGTCAAACTCTACAGCACGTTTTATTTTATATTATTATACATACGACTAGTTTCAACCCACCACGTGCAATTTGCGCCATATTTTTTCTCTATATATACGCTTCACACCCAT